GCACTTCTATTACAGGTTTTACGGTATCATATTTTGGCTTTTTCAGGGAAAGACAGACAATTTTGGACTACTGAAAAATTGCTCCAGACTTTTTTCTCGGAAAATGAGTTTAAGAGGCGCCCTTCTATTAGAGGTGAAATCCATTTATAAAGGGCATTTATGAAATAAATTTCACAGTATATCAATTTTCGGAATATTGGCAACTTTTTCCCCAGATTCCTATTCTGATAAGCCGTTTGCAACCCAAATAGTGTCAAAATTAACAGGAAAATCGGAGTTGGACTACTTTGAAACCTCTTCTCTCGCTTCGTTGGAATTTTACAGAAAAAGTTGCCAAATACAAAATTGAAGCCCTATTTTTTTTAATGGGCTCTGGAATTCTCAGATAAATCGAAAAATTCTGAAATGCTTTTTCAGAACTTCAAAGCTGACTACCGTATTTACTCCACTAGAAGCCCACTCTATACGTCCACTTTGAGCTCAATTAGTTTGGTTTCTATGAGAGATATAAAAATTTGTCAACTAAGATAAAATATAGATGATATTATGATAAACAATTTATCAGTTGGCAAGCTTTTGATATCTTCTGAAGGAACGGAGATAATGGAGCTCAAAGTGTTCAAGTAATAGGGTGGGCTTCTATGTATTAGAGCAAATACGGTATTTTCCACAAAAAAAGAACCAAGATATGATTTCGTTTTGTATGGTAGTTTTAGTATAAAATTTCGGTGAGAAACCGCACTCAAGTAAAACAATGTAAAATAAATAGACCAAAATCAGGTTAGCTGAAAAATGCGGTTTCAGAGAGTATGGAAATTTCTTGTCCGAGCCCAACAAACTAATTCATTCTCGAAAAAGACTTTTCAACTCACCATCGGTTCAAACGGCGTAACTCTTCCTTTCAAGAAGTTCATCCAATAGAGAATCTGTTTGTATTGTACTTCCGTCGGATCACTGGCTCTATACAAAATCAAATGAATGCAGTCACAGTTTCCAACGAAATGATCATAACAAGTGTGCATTGGTTCGTATCCTCCAAATTCCCAAACTGAAAACTCTCCACATCCTTGAACATTTACAGTTTGTACATCGATTCCTCGTGTGTATTGAGAGTGCGGTGGAGTGTATTTGCTGCCAGATGTTGACAGTTCGTAAGACGAATTGTTGTTCGATTCACTGACGAATGATCCATTTGCCGAGTGAATTCCGTCGTCTTTCATGGAATTCGAGGGACTGTAATGGTCACTGAATCGGCGCATTGCATCGAAAAATGAAGAAATTCCACGAGTTGAATTCAGAGTTTGAACCAGACGGGTCTTTCCGGAGAGTGAGTGTCCCAGAAGTTTCAATTTAATTCGACGAAGAGAAGTGTCCAATGGGTAGAGTTGAGAGATGTATTCCTCACGGGTTTCTTGCTGAAAATTGGTTCTTGATATTGGAATAGATGTACGTCGGTGGGCAATATACAAAGACTGAATCAGTAATTCCTTTTTGATTTTTCCGTCGAAATCTTCTTACTGTTCAAGCAATTTTTATCAGAAAGAAATTTTGACTTTTCACTACCTTAACAATAAGACTAGCGTTCGAAAAGAGTTGAAAAGGGACGACCCGCGTCCCGCCTGTTCGGGACGAGGACCATTTCAAAATAATTATTTTTGGGAAACATTCAGTTAAATTTTGACTGAAAATCAGCTGGAAGTTGTGTTTTTCTATTTAAACTACTTGAGCAATAGAATTCAGAAACTGGAAATGTTCTGTTTCGAGCACTCCTTTAGTTTCCTTATAAATTGCATTGGTATTGCGACCCAGTAATTCCAACTACTTTCTAGAACCTCCCTCCAATAATATGTTTTCGTTCAAAACATACCGATTTAACCATTTTGAGCAATGAATGAGCTTCTAATCTCTCTGCAGCCACTGCAACAAGCTCAGCCGTCAAACCATCATCTCCTCGAAGTGTGACGTCAGCACGAGCCAAAAGAAGAATTCTGATGATGTCGACGTGTCCGAAATGAGCTGCCAGATGAAGCGCAGTCTTCTGGTTAGCGTTTGGTGAATCCACATGAACTCCACAGTGACACAAAGTTTGGACGGCTTGGAGCAGTCCGTGTTTAGCGGCCACGTGGAGAGCTGTGTCGCCGTGCTGAAATTATTGAAACAATCGTATACTGATTGGCGATAAATTTATAGAGCTAGCATTGAGTTTTCAGTATAACAGTGACGAAAATCCTAATTATCTCTCCGTTAAAAACTCACATTATCCGCATGATTAATATCACAACCATTGGTTATCAGAATGCCCGCAATATCGACATTATCGTTCTCCAAAGCAATAATCAAAGCTGTCTTTCCATCCTGCTCAACTGCATTGATTGGTGAGTTTGCATCGAGAATCGCTTGAACACAATCCACGTGTCCGCGAGCAGCAGCAACATGAAGTGGAGTCTCTTCGCGCTGAAAGAATATCAATTGGGTTACGGTCGGTTCCAGACTGTGATTTTGGAAAACCGGGGCTGCTCATTTTAAATTTAATCAAAACGTTTTATACATTCGTTGAAAGAAAAACCATATTTCCAGCGACTCAACAAATTGAGTTATTCATGTCAATTATTCAAAAAATACTGGAACAGTAACTTTTCAAAATTTCATGATGCGGAATTTTGTTCAATGGGATATTAAAAAATGTTCAATTTGTTGTGAATAGTGATAGTGAATTGAGGGACACCCATCTTTAGATTCTTAAATTGGAAAATTCTAAGGATTTGGTTATTTTTTGAACTAAAAAAATACGTATTCAAAGAGTAAAGTCTCTACTAATGAAACTAAACCTTTTATGTTAATTTTTACGAAATCTTTAAAACTGGCATTTTTTCCATTTTTAGAAATACATATAATTACACCCATTTCCCTTTATATATTTCAGCCCGTTCCAGATTTTTAAATAATATCCATCCCTATCTCTATGAATTTATATATTTTTTCTAACTGGTAAACAAGTGTTAGTAGGCATGAGGGATTATCATTATAGTGAGATTATCCGCCTTTTCACCGCCCAAATACTACCCAACGGACAGCATTTCTTTTTTCTTCTTTTCAATTCAAATTTAATTCGATAGAAAAAAAGGTAGAGAAATGAGCCACAAAAGAGCAACTAGTGCACTGGGAAGGATTACTGTAGTAGCATATGACAAGGCATTAGCAAGATTTCAAGGTAAAAGGGGTTCTATTCAAAAACCGAAACAGAAATGTTTGAAGTTTGAGTGGGTTTTTTGCAAGAATGTAAGCTGATTTTTAGCTTGCATCTTGTGCGAACATTGAAACTGTGAAAAAAATTGGATCAACTTCAATCAGAGATTTATAGTTTAGTTCCGCCCATACTTGTGGAATGAAGGCCCGGCCAGGCCCGTTACAAGGATAATCCCCCCATTTATTAAATTGTGGAAACAACTAAAGTGGGCCTAAAAACTCAAAACTGCGGTCTTCATACCGAGCACTCGCATAATTCCGGATGATTTTCAGAAATATCGTTGAGCAATTGAATAAAAGCCGTAGTAGATGAGTAAGCAGGCACACTTCCCAATTTCGAATACCGATCCTGTCCTGGATATACAAAATCAGCGGCTCGCGGGCGTGGACTTTCAAACAGATAACTGGCGGCTGGATTGGTCAATGGATCAGTGAGATAGTGTGCCAGAACAGATCCAGGCATTACTACAATAGTGTTATCTGTATCTGATTGAGCATCATCATCCTCATCCTCTACTTCATCGTCATAATCAAAACTAGACGGATCCGTTTGAGTATTCTGGGTCAAGTTTAGTCTTCGAAGATCCAAATGTATCATTTTCTCCTCGTCATCTGAATCCTCGTCTTCAGAATCTGATGGGAAACGGTCGTCTTTCTCGAGGGAGACGTTTTCCGATGTGTCCTTCTCTGGAATTCGTTCTTCGGAAATTCCATTTGATGTACTCTCCACGAATTCTTTCAGCGCGTTTTCGGTGGTTTGATTGTTTCGAGCACTTTCTCTCGCACTCATTTCCCGATACATTTAGAAGGAGGAGAGCCTAGAAATTATGAAAAATAGACTAGAAGTAATATGAGGGCGAGGAGGTACCAGCGTGGTATGAACAAGAAAATATAAAATATGAAATGTTATAAGGTTTAGATGAAACAGTGAATCTTCGGAAATTGCGAAGATAAATGGGAAGAAATGATGAAATTCCAATATGTAGAAAAAAGGAACCAATGAGAATGTACAGCTAGAATAAGGTTTATTCTGCTGATAAAACAGTATTTCATTGTTTTCGAACAGTTACAAAACATTTATTAGCCGAGTCTTTGGATTGAAAAAAAATTAGAGCCGTATAAAATAGAGACGTCTAGTGAGAACTAATAAAATTTTAAACTTCAAATGTTTTCGTTGAAGCGGTGAATGTATTTTGAAAAATTGGAAAAAAAAATCTTGCTGAATTTACATTGTTTTGTGAAAATTTTAGATCAATTAACTCTAAAAAATTTTACTGTTTTATTATTATTATGATAGAAGAGGAAAAAATTGATTGATCGATTACACGTTTTATATATAATTGCTAGATTTGCTATGACATCATGGGAATTCAGTTTTGCCGGAAAAAATCTCAAAATTTCATAAAATCGGGGAAAGGAATTGTCGTTAAAATATCAAAATGTTTCCCCAAAAATAAAGTTTTCTACCGTTTCAAGTTTCACATAAATTTTCAGCTACACTTTTCAAACCGATACGTTTCTTGCTTCTATAATATACCAAAGTATCAGAAAACCAAACAAAAGTTGAAAAGAAAAAGTCAATTCCAAATCGTCTTCTTCTAATCCATAAAACATGTAATACACTTTCAAAGAATAATACACTAAAAGAAAAAAAAGTTATGGAGTAATTTAGTTCAAACGAGAAAAGCGGGAAGAGGTGCTGGAGGAGGATAGAAATATATGTATTATGAATGTGTGTGAGGGGATGCACCTGTGTCACCTATGTCCCTTTAAAGAGACGCAGATAGAGAAAAATGGGGGCGGGGCGAACACCCCACCCCACATAAGCTTCTGAATTTGGGAAGAGAGAGAGAGAGAGAGAGAGGTGAGTGAGGGGAGAGAAGAGACGCAGAGAAAAATAGATTTATTAGAGCTCTCTCGGGTTGTCAGGGGACATGCTTTTCTCTCTCTCTCTCCCTCTATTGCTTTTGTGCTTTTTGGGGGGAAAGAGCAGCACACGCACCTGGAAAAAGAGCAAATTGAGGGATGGAAGAAGTGTATACTAGTATTTAAAAGGCCATTCAGTTGTATAGTGGAGAAATTGGAAGAAGTGAGAAATTTTTTGGAAGCGAGTTGAAGGAGAAGAAGAAGCCATAGTTCAAAGACGGAAATAAGAAACACAGATAGAAATGTCTGGAGTGCGTGTTTGTCTGCTTTAGGTGGTCTTTAAAAAAGATTTAAGATAATGAAAATAGAAAAATCTTAAAAAATATTTTCTGTTTCATGATGTGTTGTTTAGCTTGAATTTTAAAAACGAGCATGTTGGGATAGCCGCAAATGCTTTTTTCGGAATTATCATTCAATTATGGAAGTTTTCAACTTTTTTGAGATTCCGTTTTCAAAGAAACGTCTAAAGTTCTAGTTTTTCTGGAATTTCTGCATTTCTGTATGTCCAGAATGACCGGGAACTCAAAAATCGAAAAAATGACAAAATTGATTAAAATACAACAAGTTTTATACTTTATGAAAGGATAGGAACACTGAGGAACTTAATTTAAATGTCTCATGTCAAAGAATGAAAACGGTAAATTTTCTTGTAGAGAAAGAGTACCGTAAACCTGTAATAGAACGACTTCTATCCTTTACATGTATTTTGAGCTCGAATATCTCGATTCCTATGCAACATATCAAAAAGTTGTCAACTGATAAAGCACTCCTGATATTATGATAAGCAATTTATCATTTGACAATTTTTTCCTCTCTCTAACAGGAACCGAGATGAATTAATTGAAAGTTCAAACTTAGGATGTGCCCTTTTATAACAGGTTTCACGGTAATTGTGTCACCTAATCGAATGGAAAACTAACAGATTGCTTAACAATATGACTTTTTTCGAAATGATCATGTACACAGATTGGAACACAAAAAAAAATTAGTAGACCCAAAGTTTTGAGAACTTTCAATATTCTAAGTTTTAATCAATTTCGGAGGTCTAAAGTTAAAGAAAATGTCGAAAAAAGAATTAAATCATTAGATATTTCTTGTAGGTTTGAAATCAATCTCTATAGCAATCTTATTTGTTTTGAGATGATGATGTACACTGGTTGAAACAGAAAAAAATTTGATAGGGCCAAAGTTTTGAGAATTTAAAAAATTTCACCAATTAAGAAGGTCTAGAGGTAAAGAAAATCTGGTTTTATCTTCAAAAAGGCCTCGACCACAAAAAATGATTCCAAGAGTCTGAGATATTGGTCTCAATTCCCAGGAAGGCGCCCGAAATTCCATTGAAGAAAGTTTTTTCAAAAATTTCAAATTTCAATAACGTCATCTAGTCTTCAATTTAATGCCATTTTTGGTGCACACTCGAACTAAAAATCCATACATTTTTCAAAAAATTCTCGAATTTTAAAAATTCAGAAAATAAAAATAACTTTTTGTTCCAATCTAAAATGACAAAAAAATCCTCATAAAGCCCCTCCGGGATAAGATGATTCATAAAATACGGGTGGGTGTAAATCCAAAAATAACAACAAAAAAATCTAATCCCTAAACTTTTGAACAAGAGTGATGGGAAAATTGGTATTCTTTTTCTCCTTTTTTTTGGAGAAGTTGATTGGAACGAAAAAGGCAGGAAAGAGCCGGATATAGTATGTACATATTTTATGAGGAAGACAGATGTCACTGGAAGATGGAGGAAAGGAACAGAAGGTGGGGTAAGGAAAGGAATAAGAAGATAAATGTGAGGGGAGAGGACTACGGTAGAATTTGGAATGTATGGGGGTATACTGTAGTTAGCATGATGATGAGCGAGAGAGAGCCAAAAGTAGAAGGAAACGAGACTAATTTTAATTATATTTTAACCAGCCTGTTTAGAACGGCTCGGGCGCTTCAATCAGCTGGCTGGTGCGCCGTCGGCGCAATTTAATCTAGTTCACTGGTTCGTCGCTTTGCTTCTCACGTTTTTCAAATGGTCATGTGAATCTATAATTATTTTTCAAGCTTTTAAAAACCGGACAGCGTGACACGAGGACCTACAGACATCTCTAGCGTTTTATATATGAGGAATATCAAGCTGAGACATTAAAATACCAAAAAATACACTTGAGCTTTAAAAATTGGTGAAACAAGATTTTCTATAAAACATCGAATTTTTTTGAAACCTCGAAAATTGGGAGTTCTGGAAGATTGAAAAATAAAATTTACAATTTTTGTACATACCGTAAAACCTG